TTCAGAGCTCCCCTCCCAAAACACTACATGGGAACTGGTATCTGGATTTTTCTGTTATTTTACCTGAAAATACCTAATAAGTTAAAAAATAAGAACATTCCTCTTACAGTGATTATCAGATTTTACATGACCATTCAAGCCATTAACCAGATCCACATGTACAGATATAACACAATCATCTAATTAAGAAAGTCATTTACAATCATAGAATCACATCGTTATTTAAAACATGTAGGTTTTAAAAGGTCAGCGAACTCTAAACAAAACAAGACTTTGAAGGCTTGTATCTCAGTCCAAAACAAAAGCTTGGCGGGTGAGATTGAATGTAAGGCAACACAAAATGAGCTCGCAAACAAATCCCTCCTGTTTTAAAAAAAAATCAGTTTCCTACGTTAAAAGGAGTCATTGAAAAAGCACAAGTTAAGCTCACGTAACAAACTAAATTGTTAAGAGGAACACAACGCACTTTCTTCTCTCCATCTCACTCCAGCTACTGTTAGCAGCAGTGAGGTAATGAGGGACAATGCAAAACGCAGGGAAGCTGAGCCTTTGAGGCCAAAGCCTGCCTCGTAAAATGGCCTACTAAAGAAAGGGGAGCTTTGCTCAGTGCAACACAAGCAGGTTCCTCTTTAATGACTTCATGGGCATGCCAATCACTTACACCACACAATCCCATCATGCAGACGCAATATTTTTCAGGACATCCCGATCATGTGAGCCTGGACCACGTGACTCCTGTGCTCCCCCCCAAAACACAAGCTGCGGTTCAGTTCAGCAGGTAACACCTCAGGGGCAGATGAAGGGGGTCATTATTATTTTCAGATTGTGTTAGAGTCTCTTTGCTCACAGGAGCTCACATGAGCTGCTGGGGATGTACAACAAGGCATCACAGAGCAGGTTGTTACCTCAATTGTAAAGGGAGCAAAACAGAATGTTTGAGGAGAACATAAAAGAGAATCCCAACATGATGATGAATGTCAAATGGAAGTGAAAGCTGATATTCTGATCATAAAGAATAGAAATGTATTGCTGTAGTCATAGCAGCCATAACTTTCTTAACCTCATTCTAATTTGGATATCTGTACAGTTATTTGCAAAAACCCACAGACATATTTCATTGTCAAAAGAATGCGAGGCTATATATAAAGAGTTATTTTACTGCTGATAAATATCTTATGACAGGAGGGTTTAAAACTGCAGAGTGGTGGTTTCACTCTTTCTGCCATCGTGCTGCCGGTCTGCATTTCAAATGTGCTGCAGTATATTTATGACACACTCAAACACAGAGAAGGCGTCCTTTTTTCAGAGAGGACATATAACTGAATCAATCTTATGACAGAAAGGTTATAAAACATGCCACTTGGGAATCTTACTAGATCTTAAGTCATATTTGCATTAGATCCACCATCTTTACTGCTGAATGATTTATAGGAAGTGCAGGCAATGGCCATAGATTCAAAGTGACAGACATATGAATGTGTATGAACTTGAGGTAAACTTCAAGTACAGGACATGCCAAATGTAAGGCCACACAGACAGGACGTGATGTACAAGGGGACGGAACCTGAATCATAAATTGTTACACTGAGAGGAACACCAACTGAAGTGAAGCTGAAAAACTGAACAAAATCTTCAGCAGCTGGGCTGATCTACTACTGCAAAGCTTCAAGACTGAGCTTTCAATCTTCCCAGGCACAGCTTTGGTTTTTCAGGTGGTGTCGCTGATATGGCCCGACACAGAGAGACCCTGATGTGATACAAACTGAGGCCAGTCTTTTAGAAATAGCAGACAGAGGGGGCCTGTGGGGTGTCAGATGTCGACAGGGACCAGTTGCCGGAGTCTCGGACTGGTCCGCCTCTCATGCTCAGGGCAGCTGTGTCTTCTCAGACCTCACATTCCTGCAGGACAGGCCCACTTTACCCTCATCACCTGTGCTGATCTGAGGGCAAGACCAGCTCTCAGGGGAACTTCACAGTTACTTGAATTAAAGTCATTTTATGTATAATTTTGATGATATGAAAGGATAGAGGAATTTTGATATAAAGCGAAAACCACAATAGGTTTTAAAAAATGCTAAAGACCAAATGTGGGCAAGGGAAAACCCCATGAGAGGTTGATATGTAGCCCTAGTATTCTCAGAAATACTGTCATTAATACATAAAGGTATTATGTTGGGGATGTGCTAGTCCAATACTCAATGTTGGTCTGATACTGGCTCAAAATGGTGAACACTGCTTCACTGCATTTTAAAGTGGTGTTTTGTAGGCTCTAATGGCGCATTTCCACTACTCGCTCGGCCTCGCTCAGTATGGCTAGGCCTCGTTAGGCCTTTTTAGGACTGGCTCACTTTATAGCGCATTTCCATTACAGTTTAGGAACTGGGGTAGTATAGAGAGGCGAAGTCCTGCCCTTCTTCTTCCGCCCCATGGAACCTTATTTCGGAAAAATGATGTATTGAAGTCAATGGGGAGAGAAAACGTATCTTTCGATCCCGTTTCAATTGTGCCACGAATTACACATATGATGTTTGTCAATCTTAAAAAATAATTTCCATGTCAAAAAAGTCAGTTTGTCTTAAAACTGTTTAAATATAAGACTATGAAAAATACGCAACTAGAAAGACTACAAATCCCAGAGTAAGTGAGTGATGTCATAATTGTTTTCCTCCACTAAATATAAGAGCTAGCGTCAGATGAAAGGACCAGGAGTGGCTGGCTGGATCAAGTTAGCTACCTAGCTAGTAGCAAGTACCCCCTGACCGACCGCGAACATTTTTGATAGAAAAACCCTATATAAATAATTACAATATAGTGATGTTCCATCAGTGTGTGATTTATTAACTCCTTCATGCATGAATTACAACAAACTAAGGATATTTTCATCTGTATGCATGAAAAAAAAGAACACTACGAAAACAAATTGAAACAGATTATTCCAAGGAGTTTTTCAATTGAAGTAATATATGTTTAACAAATCAGTGAACAAAATGATATATTATGAAAAACTATAAAATACAATAGGCCTACACAAATTTGACATGTTTATATGAGGACTCCCTTGGTGGTTCTAGGACTATTTTCCTCTAACCATTTGTTTTGTTTATCTCACGTACCCCCTACAGTACCCCAACGTACCCCTAGGGGTCCGCGTACCCCCCATTTGAGAATCACTGATTTTAGACAACACGCATTTTAAAAGGTTTTTCGTCTGTCGTCTGTCTACAGACTTTTTAAAGCATTAATTCATGGTTTTTACTAACCGGTATCAGTATGTTATTACTTCAGCATCATTTTGAAACGTGTATTACAATTAAATCACGGTCAAATATGTTCATCTTGTTGTAGTTGTAGCCCCCTTGCCAGCGATTCTCTCTAGTTTAGCACACTCAGACAGCCCGGTTGTTGGCCCGGAAAGAACCTCGATTTTATGGGGCCAGAAAAACTGTGAAATAGTACCCGCTAGCCGTTACATGCTAAGTGGAAACGCAACCAAAAACGGGCCCCGCACGGCTCGGCACGATTAAAGCGAGCTCCGCGCTGTATTGGAAATGCACCATAAGTGAACAAACTTAGTTTTAGAGAACTTTTGATCAAATCAATAAATCAATGCGGTTAATTGTGTTGTTAGTTGTGGACTTAAAAGATATGTGTGAAAAGGTTTGAATAAAAAAAAGAGCACTAATAGGACACATCTGTTGTGGCTACGCATGTCTTCCTTTAAGGGAGATGTGTATTTATTTCAGAGTTTGAGAGTTATGTTTTTAAGATAGCTAAACAAGGTGCATTCATTATTGTATAATTAAAAGCTTAGTTTGAAAATAAGTAAAAAGATGACGAGCCGATACAAGGTTGCGGGATCGGACCTATATTATATAATTCTCACATAGACACAGAGATGGAAGATTACGAGGAGCATTTGCATGGTTTACGGGTTACTGACCATGAATTGCAAGGTCCCCAGTTCGGGTCCAGCTTGGAAAGCTTTGTTGCATGGTACCCAGTCATCTTCCTGTCAACACTCAACTGACAACTCTATAATAAAAAGGAACAAAAGATCCCAAAAAATCCTCAGAAACTACAACCAGGAACTGTAACTATAAACTCAGAATGATCAGCACAGACACAATATAGGCCAAAGCCTCAAGGGAATACTAAAGTGACAAAGTCATCTTGCACAGAAATATAATGTACATGGGGTTGTCAGTTTGCAGTCATGAAGGCAACTCTGTCCACTGCTCAGAGCCTTCTCCATGATTCAGCAGCTTCCTCAACCCATTAGACCTCCATGTAACTGCAGTCTTTATTGCCTCCTCTGCATTATATACTCTATGACCTCCACTAAATAATACATTCAGACATTTACCCCACCCTACTGCAGACAAACATTTAACCTGAACTTCATCCCATTACTAACATGAAAACAGAAGACTGTCCTTTCATTTATGCTGCATCATCCATGATTTTCATTCATCCTTTATGTCTGCATTTGTCTCGTTTTATCTTTTAATGTAGCCCCCTTCACAAGGTCTGACGATGGAAATAAACCTTTTGGCAACAACTGACACATCAAAATCATATTGATGCTAACTGATGTGTAATCCTTGGCAACAAAAACCAAACAAGAACCATGATTCATCATGTTTACAAGGTGTCACGTTTCCAAAGGAACATGTTGGTGGCTTCAGATATGTAGGTCTAGAGGCAGTCTGTAGATGACATGACACTAAGCTGCAACTCAAACTTTTGTCAAGCTTTCACACCACACTAGAAACACAAACACAAACATTTCTGTGTGTGACTATTCATTCAACAGAAACACCAACTGAGCCCAAACACACCTAAAAGCGTAGACAACCATCCTGCAAATGCGTGAAGATTAAAGGAACAAGTTTCTTGAATCATTGGTTGCTTGCAGCCCCAAAGCCCCTCTTCCACTGCGGGGGGGCAACACACACACTCACACAACAGTGTCCGATAACTACTAAACATCACACTCTTACCTCCAGACGTGAACGCTGAAGTCAGTCGTAAGTGGGACTCAAGTTTTCCGTCTGCTCTCAGGATGGGTTGCAGAGCCACACACACTTGTAGCCACAAAATGCCTAAGTATCTATTTAATTCCCCGCATTCCCACTGAATTAATGTGTATCCTTCTCTCTCCCGCCGCTCGCCTCCGAACAACTCCTCGAAATGTACCTCCACTCCGAGTACTTGCGCTATTTTATCCGTGCGTGTCCGCTGTTGTAAAATGTAATTAAAACGCAGTCCTTCGCAGCTCGCTGACGGGCTCTGGAAACTACACTTTGCTTTGCTAATCAGTGCGGCCGCTCCGGGGGCGCGCGGTAGTGCGCGGTCACGCTGCTCCTGGGCGGGGTTAAAAAGTAGAGGGAGGACGGAGCCAAACAGTTTACCGGGCTGAGGGGATTTGAACGTAGTGGCCACATGGGGGAATTGCAACGTCCCTGTTCGTCATAACCGGAAAACTTTTATGTAAAACACAATTATTGGAAAATAGGTGACTAATCAGTTTTCTAAACTCTCAACTTCAAGTGCGAAGAAGTGTATACTTCTCATGAATGGAGTGCAGCCTTTTTAATGTTGAATTAAACACATATTAAAGAGTATCATTTATCAATAAACCTTACCAAAAACTGAAGAAATCAATTAGCGAATATGTAGAATTATATATGGAATCACCAGGCATAGGCTATATAAGACCAACAAAGAACAAAAGTAAAAAAAAAATAAGTGGGTAGTTCCCCCAAAATCTTTCTTGATATTTTTTTTGTTACACCATACAAAAGAGGACTTATTATTTCTCAGAAATAGACAAGTTTAAATCATACTTTTCCTTTTAAAGAAAAGAGTCAAAAGTTTGAAATTCATATACAATGTTAATATCAACAAAAATAAATGTTGACACATGGCATGAGAAAAAAACATGTGTTCTAAAGTTTTGTGTCTGAAGAACATTTGTAATTATAATGGAACAATGTGATTATTGGTATATATTTTAACATTCAGGTGGAACAGATGGCTTAGCAAAATCAAAACAGTTTTTATTCTTTGAACATTCTTTATAGGCTACATAAAAGTAGATTTGGGGGAAAATAAAGAATTAAGGATCTGTTTCATAATATAGGCTACTATCACTAAAATGTATACAGAATCATTATGGGTAAAAATTCCTTTTGCGTCCCCTCCTTTTGTTTATAAGTGAATGTATTATGTTGCTTGTATTTTTACTGGACGTTTGTAGTTTCTATTTATAAAAAGAAAGTTGTCGTTCCACGGACGTAGCGAAACAACAGGAAGGAAGTAAGCACTAAATGACTCGGTAGCGAGGTACACACACTGCACCACTTGATATTAAATGATGGTTTAAACACATTTTAGCGTGTATTTTGAGTGTATTTATTATTTCTGGTGACGGTAGATGTGGTATGTTGTACATGTGTTGGTGTATTTTGTATCATATAACTGTAAACTGTAAGAAAAGATAACTTTTAAATGACAGGAGGTAACGAAGCAGCTGGTATCTTTCCAGTGAGTGTACTGCCCGACACCCTGTCGCAAACAAGTTAAAGGTCTTCCTGTAGTGCTTTACGTTAGTCAATGCAATGAGGTGCGAGACTGCAGATTTCCTGCTACTTTTTATTTGAGTGTGTCTTTTACAGGTATGGACATTTAATTAAGTTCATATATGTTAGTTTTACAGGACACTGTTCAAGTTGTACAGGATAAAATGAACGTGTAGCGGAGTTGTTTCGCTTCGTGTGATGGGAGAAGTGACAGTTAGCTAACTAGCTCATGCTAATGGTTCATCATCAGGGAGCTGTATATGGTCAAATGAAACGCACTGCAGTAATGTGATACTCTCCGCAGTGGCATCACCGGTCACTGGCAGCCTGTTACAGTATTTGGAGGTTTATATCCAATCATACGCTATTGTAAATTCTAGGTAATAACGCGATTTCTTAATAAGATGATGAACCATTTGACGTGTCTCAGTGAGTAACGTTAACGGCCAACAGCAACAAACCGTAAACGAACCCAAATGAAATGTTCCCTTTAACTCCAGACATCAGTTTAAGGGTTTATAAGGTGGTATTTACATTGTACGACCTTAACCCAGCCACACATCTTATCCCTGTGACGCAAGTTAGTAATCAACCATCAAATGAATTTGTAATAATTGGGTTTACATCATCATTTTCAGGATGTCACAAACCTTTTTTTATTTGAGAAAAATACACCAGATCTAAAGATTAAACTGCAATTGTAAGAGACAGTGGAGTCTTTTTGTAAAGTAATTGTTTTGTATTAACTCACATAACACGTTTTGGAAAGACAAATAACAAATGAAAACAGATAATAATACAATTTAAACAGATAAGTGATGTGTTTATTTGTGCACAACTTTATCAGCTAAACATTCAGCACTGTACATCTTGTGTATTTGCAGACGGGCACTCTTGACTGGGGGATGGACCCTGTGGTGGTGAGCTACCAGGACAGCCTGTTGAGACGCTCTGATGTGTCGCTGCTGGAAGGACCTTACTGGCTCAATGACCAAGTCATTGGTTTTGCCTTTGAATACTTTGCTGCTGAGCGCTTCAGAGTCCTGGGGGAGACCATCACCTTCATCAGCCCGGAGGTCACCCAGTACATAAAGTGTGCTTCCTGCCCCAATGAGTTAGCAATATTTCTGGAGCCGCTAAATCTTGCTTCTCGTCATTGGGTCTTCCTGGCCGTTAACGACAACTCCAACCAGACCGCCGGAGGATCCCACTGGAGTCTCCTGGTCTACCACCACAACTCCAACCACTTTGCACATTATGACTCTCAAAAGGGCAGCAATTCAACACACGCACAGCGCATCGCCCGCAATCTAGAGCCTTTCTTGGGTGCAGGGAGAAAAGCGCAGTTTGTGGAGGAGCCCTGTCCATCCCAGAAGAACAGCTATGACTGTGGCATGTACGTTATCTGTATAGCAGAGGCCTTGTGTGAAAAGGCGAGAGTGGAGGGCTCGCCACGCCTTCCTGTGCAAATCATCACCCCGGCCTACATCACTCAGAAGAGGGTGGAGTGGTGCAGACTGATCCAGAGTCTGGCTCAGAATGACCTCTGCTGCGCTCTTTCCTTTCCTTAGCCTGGCAACTTGCCCTCACTATATGAAGAACAGCCTCTCTACATATCTACTGCTGGAGCAACTGAATGCACTCCTACAATACAGTATAAAACTACATATGAAGTATATTTCTATTAGACTCTCTATAATACCCCATAAAAGAAAAAAATAACGTAATGTTACAAATCTTGGTGTCATGTTTATGCCTTGTATATGCACAGCGACATACAATATGTGGACCTGAACACCAGCATGCCTATAAGGAAATGTACTTCCATCTACATTTTTACTAAGAATGGATGTCAAATCATTTTCTTTACTCTGTTGTATTAGCTTGCAGCGAATGTAGAAATGTTTACACTGATTATTGCTCAGGGTCATTTTAAATGAAATTGATGATAAGAATGTGAATCTTAACCTTGGCTCCTACTTTATGTTACATGCACATTTGGTTTCTCAGTTTGCCTACAACAACAAACTTTTAGTTTTGAAACATTTTTAGGAAAATTGCTGTATGAGGGTGAGACGTGCCTGGGTGCTCTGACTGTTTATGGGACAAAGGACAATTTTGATTGGTGGAATGTATTATATTATGTTCTCACAAAAAGCAAGTGTCAAATTCACTGTCTGCTGGTCTAATAAAGTTGGTGTCACATTTTTGATGACAAAACTGTTAATTTGCTTTTTTGTTTGAAGTCCCAGCTCTCTTTATATAGTTAATTGTATCAGAGAAGTATTAATGTTGGTGTTTTACAGTTAAAATGGATAGTAGTTTATAGGTTAGGCAAGGCAAGTTTATTTATATAGCACCTTTCAACACAGGCAATTCAAAGTGCTTTACAAAAATGAAAGACATTAAGCAAATGGTATTTCAAAACAGTCAGTCAGTCAGGTTGGGTCCCGTTATTAACCAAAATGCAATAGGAAAGACATAAAACAATATTGATCCACCTAAGTGACACCTTTACATTTTGGGGGTATTATTTAAAAATGAAAACATTCTGTGGGAGGTATACAGTAGATATGTTTGAAATGGTTTTCTGATGATTTTTCCAAAATTGCACTTATAAGTTAACAGAACTAAACTGAAATATCTGGCAAAATATTTAAAGCAAATTCATTTCAGTACTTCAAGATATTAAGTGCTCAAATGTGTTACAGTTTACTTTTTAAATAAAACAACTTATTGTTGTAAGAAGAAAATAACTTAATTCTTCAAGATTGGTGCAGCATGATCACAGCTAAACAAAGCACAATGCATTAGGGGAGCAGTGTAATCTTCATTGTGATTACAAGAAATCTGTTGCAGTAACTATCAAACTGGAACAGACACTTTCACTTGGACACATTTTTACAAATAGTTAATGTGAAACTAAAATATATATAATTTTCCATAAGTAGAGTGTGGGTAATAATGAGCTGTCATCCAGCATTGTATTTTAAATTAAGAAAGGAAAGAAAACTATACCAACAACTGTACGACCGGCACCGTTGGCATAGCAAGTCTTATTATAGCAGTTGATTTGATTTATGGTTTCAACATACTGTAGCTAGTCAGGCAGCAAACCAATCGCAACGTGGGTGTAGCGACAGCAGGAAACAAACAAAGTCGCTGTTTGATGTTGTATGACACGCTAAAAAAGTACTTGCTGAGATCAAAAGCTCTGTTTATTGTAGTTTAATGAAAAAACTCGGTGATCAGACATATACATTGTTATAATCAAAGCAATTGTAATCTTGCGGTCAACAAAAAAGTACAACGGCTCTGTGTCTCCCACCCTCTCTTCCACTGCGGTCAAGCCAGCCTCCACTCGGGAAAACCTAGTCAAGCCAGCCCGCACGTGATATTGCGGTGCGCGAATATCCTATGCATTACGGTAGAGTCCTGGAAACACTGCCTTCAAAATAAAAGCACGTATTCGGTCAATAACATATACACCAAAAATAACATATCAAACATATTAAATTAAGAAATATGTACTATATAATGTGATCAATAATTATTTAAAACAAACGTATAACTACCACATTATAAATGAGTGAATGTAAAACTTAAGGAGTTTCAAAATAAAAGACCTTTGAAATATCTATTGTATGAGCTATCATCCCTCTGTGTTAAGATGAGAATAAAACAAAAACTGTCCAGTATCAAAGACTAATTTCACTTCAGGGTGATAGCAGGACACCCCACCTAGCCACTCAGAAAAAATCAAGACATTCTGATGTAGAGTTTCAAAATAAAATACCTTTGAAGTCTCATATATGAGCTATCATCCCTCTGTGTTTAGATGAGAATAAAACAAATACTGTCCAGTATCAAAGACTCATCTCACTCCAGGGTGATATCAGGACACCCCATCTAGTCACTGAGAAAAAATCAGGACATTCTGATGTAGAGTTTAAAAATAAAATACCTTTGAACTCTCTATGGTATGAGCTATCATCCCTGTGTTTAGATGAGAATAAAATAAAAACTGTCCAGTATCAAAGACTCATCTCACTCCAGGGTGATAGCAAGACACCCCATCTAGTCACTCAGAAAAAATCAGGACAGTCTGATGTATAGTTTCAAAATAAAAGACCTTTGAAGTCTCATATATGAGCTATCATCCCTCTGTGTTTAGATGAGAATAAAACAAAAACTGTCCAGTATCAAAGAGTCATCTCACTCCAGGGTGATATCAGGACACCCCATCTAGTCACTCAGAAAAATAGCCAATATCTGAGACTTCAAAGGTCTTTTATTTTGAAACTCTACATCAGAATATTCTTATTTCTTCTGAGTGACTATATGGGATGTCCTGCTACTGGACAGTTTTTGTTTTATTCTCATCTAAAAACCGAGGGATGACAGCTCATACAATAGATATTTCAAAGGTCTTTTATTTTGAAACTCCTTAAAGGAGACATATCATGCTATATTTAAATGATATAGTGTATGACCATACCTATATAAGGTATATTTATACATTTTATTTGTCAAAATACCAAACAGATCATTTTTTAGCCATGCCTCGTTTCGCTCATTTTCGCTCTATTCCAAGCCTGTCTTTGAAAATTCTGAGCAGCAGCAGACCACGCCCCCCTGCAGAAGAGCGGGGCATGAGCCGGCGAGAGTCACGTTACCATGCTTGCTGTGATTACGAGTGTGGAATAAACATGTCATCTCAGAGCAATGCATGTGTTCAAGCATATTATCAATTTGATCCAGAGACTGACCCTGAAGCAGCGGAGGTTTTGGTGGAGGTGCAAACATCTCGGTTGCAGCAGGACGTTTCTGAATGGTTAGTTGACAAGCTGTTGTCCCTATTTATTTTACTCTGTTACGATGCTTTCTACTTATTCCGTTCATATTTTGGCTAATTAGCAAGAATGCAATGTGTACAGTTTATAACTTAGAGCTTGTAACGCAAAAACAGCAATACATATATATATTTATAAAGGGAGACATTCATATTTTCAGCATATATACAATGGCATCATTGCGTTTATTAATAGTTTACAGTATTTTTCTTCCAACATCGTGCAACAACCGTTGGAAAGTTCAATAACTTAGGGTGATAAAAAGTATAACTCCAACAACACCTCAGTTGTCAGCAATGTGTGCAGTTTCATGTGTTTTTAAAAGCTCAGTTATTGACTTCTTTCTACAGGTGTACATGTGCAAATTGCGCCACGATGCCTTCTGAACCGGAGAATGTGTGCTGCATGGAGATACCACAGGTAACATTTTTGATAGCTTCACTAAGTTGTCTGTTTAGAGAATACATTTTTCACATGTCATTCAATATATGTTTATCACACTAGGTGTCAAGACGGATGCAGGAACTTGAGGACTCTGTAACCTGTATGGTGGACCATCCTGGATTGGAGCCTGTGTGCCTGAATGTGTTCTCCCTGCAGAATGCATTGAATATTTACAGAGCTGAACATGGTGGACTACAGTTGAGGCAAATAGAGCAGTGAGTGGTTTGTTTGTTTTGACTGAAATTGTAAAACGAATGCTAATATTGTTCATGGAAATAAATAGTGGTGTATATGGCTTTATGCAATCTTTCATTCTGTCATTGTACTATTATATACTACACAGCAATGGCATAACACACCCATGTGTACGACAAAAAAAGTCCACACACAACCTTATGCTTTTGAAATCAGAATATTCTTTACCCATCCAAACATGAATAATCACGACACATTTGATATCAACTCGGAACTTTATTGTCAACATCAACGGTTCTTTGAACCCATAAAAAAAAACTAAATGTACTTGTATTTTGTATAAATGACACTACATTTTTTTTTTAATGATTTCAGGCGTCACAGGTATCTAGCCTACAGAAGCTTTGTGAGCTGGTGCTGGGGCTTCCTTGGACGCAGGATCAGAGTGGTGATTCCGGGCCTGCGTTGTCCTCAGGGAGGCAGGAGTTTCCTGATCTGCGAAATGTCTATGTTGGGTTCAGACAGTCAAATTGAACCGTGTAGCATACCCGGCGATGACCTCCTCCCTGTCAGGTCGCTCATAATGGTGCAGTGTCCACAAAGACTTGGTCGAAGATGAGGTCCATCAAGTTGGCCACGTAGCCTGTGCAATGTTAAAAAAAAGCACAACAAAAAATGTGGTTTAGATTAGTATATGCATGTAAAAATCTGAAAGTTCTTTCTAATTTTTTTATTTTATATTTGTAAATAGTTGTATAATAAATATTTTAAACACTTACGGAATGTGGGGTCAGTCTTTACTGGTTTTGCTCTGCATTCTCCCTTCCTGGCCTTTGGGAACTGCAGTTTATACAGAGGGTTTCCAGTGGATGTAGTGGCTTGTGCACGCTCAGCGTTTTCATTGTAGTGCAGGGCTGCCAGGTACAGTCTTTCATTTCCACCATGAGAAAAAAAAATGTAAATAATAGCAAAGGATGTACAAATTGTCACTAATTAGTAAGTATGTGAGGTGCTGGCCTGTAAAGAAGAAAACATAGTTAGAACAAAATCATCTCAATTTAGTATTCAGGATGAGAAAATACTATTTGGATAAATATAGTCTGAAATCCCAAAAGATGGGGCTTAAAACTTTCTATTTAGCAAAGCTCTTTGCTTAGCCTTTTCCAATCTGAGTTAGTTTTGAACCGTAACGTGCATGCTGTGTTTCTGACTCAATACAGATGATGTGTTGGAGAGGGGCTGAGCTCAGCAGACTGACTGTAATGAGTGCTAGCCACTAATTAGCCTGTTGCTAGAGGTAAGGCCTCGTCAACAACAACAGACCAACGTGTGTGTGTCCCCCCTCGCATACACACAGTGTTGTATCCTAACACACCCCCATTTATATTTATGTGCGCAAACAAGTAAACACACAAAAGCTTTTACATATAACGCTGCAAAAAACGGCATGTCTCATTAGCGTAGCGTAGCTTAGCTTACAGATCGATGATATCTGATCGTTCTTACAGACTACAATCACAAAAGCTTTTACATATAACGCTGGAAAAAACGGCACTTACCTACAGAATATTACGTTTGTTATTATAACTTACTCAATATGATTTTAGAGGATACAAAATACTAATAAATAGGAGAATAAATACTTGTGTTATCGGCTAGGGCGTGGCTTTACAGCCTTAACACAGATCGCCATTACGGCAGTATGTCTGAACATGTTAGCAAATGCCTGATAATT